GGGGAGCCCCAGAGCGCTCGTCCCAGCCGGCGGGCGGGTGGGCGCGGGGCGCGAGCCTTCTGGAAAGCTCCGCGGCGGCTCCAGCTGAGCATATGCCCGTGTGCGGGTGCAGCCGCTCCGCTCCCAGGCGCGCACCCAGCGGGAGCGAGCGTTTCGATGCGCTCACGGGCACACGCGCGTTCCACGGTGTTCGGAGCAGCTTTACGCACAACAGCCCCTCGCGGGAAACAACCCAAACGTCTGTGAGCAGCGGGCGGGTAAGGAATTTATAAAACGGTCGTACGGCGGACGCCACACCGCGTGAGAAAGCCAGAGCTGATCCGTGCCTCTGTGTGGCCGAATTTGACTGCGGTGAAAGGCGTCGGACACAAAGGAGAACATGCTTACTGGAGCTAAAAGGAGGGAAAGGTACTTAAAGGGACGGAGGCCAGAAGGATGGTCGCCCTTGGGGGAGACCGCCTCCTGGGGTGCACACCAGGCGCCTCCGGGGCCGCTGGGCATGTTCCCCAGGTGTGTTTAGAAAATGGGGTTTTTAGAAAACTTCCTCGGCTCTTCCCTTAAGCTTTGGCACGTCACAGGACATAACAAGTAATGATGCGGCTGGGTCACAGCACAGCTTTGTTTCTTCCTTCTTACTAACAGCTCTTTACACCCACTGCTTCCTAAGGGTTCTTCTAAGTGCCAGCAGCGCGCAGCCCGCCGGTCTCTCCGACAGAGACAGGCGGCACACCCGTGTCATTAAAGGGGTCCCTTCATCGGAGCGGGCGCGGCTCAGGCCTCACCCTGAGCACCCGAGGAGCGGGCCGCTCGCCTCCCGGCTACGTTGCTGCTGCTCCTCACGTTTTTATTATGTTTGCACAGCTGCTTGCACCTTGGGCTTGTCTTCAATCTAAGATCAGATTTCCCAGTTTGCTGTCGAAAAACAAATCAGTCGTTTTCAGGGTAGAAGGTCTGAGAACAGTCTGAATTTCTTGTGCCTGTTTCTTTTCGAGCGACTTTCTGTCTGTCGGAGTGCTTGGCAGAGGAGGACCGTTCCCGCCACTGTCCCCTGGCTGTCCCCTGGCTGTCCCCTGCGCCAGGCTGCGCTCTAATCGGCGTGGACGCGGGGGGCTGGCTGAGGAGGGGCTGCCGGTGGCCTTTAGGGGATAAAGCAGCAGCGGGAGCCTAAGCCAAGGCCTCAGCATCAGCGCAGGGCTCTGGGCCACCCAGGAAATCATAGCAGATGGGGCGGGATTCAGAAAAGAGCGACACAGGTGATTAAGGGGCTGATGGCGTCGGCTTATTGGCAGCGATGAAAGGACTCGATCTGCGCAGGAAACGCAGTGAGCGCGGGGTTCCAGGGAGGTTCTGAGACCAGCCCGAATGTTAAGGCCACACACGCAGCAAGGAGGGAGGGGGGGCTGCTGATGGCTTGGAGATGATGATGGCACGCCTGTTACTGTCACAGTTACCATCACCGCTGGGTGACACTCCCACTGTCTCTGTCAGGAAGTGAGACAAAGCACAGGCCTGCTCTTGGGCATGGGCGTGCCACCGGTGTCCATCCACACGGTCATCTGTCACCACCTAACTCTCCCCCGAGTAACCCCGAGGGCCCCTCTGGCCTGGGGTCCATGCTGGGCACAGGGAACCGTGCTGGACAGGACAGGACAGGACAGGATGGGAAGGGCTCTTGTCCTCAGGGAAGCTGCAGCTCAGTAAGGAGGGAGGGCACAAGAAACCCACAAATAAACAGGCAGCTTCTGATAGTAGGGGAGCCATGAAAAGAGGAAGTCAGGGAATCGGGCGAGGTGCAGGGACCGCTAGATGGGGTGGCCTGGGAAGGCCTTTCTGGAGAGGAGAGGGGCCAGCCAAGAAAAGACATAGGCCAAGAATGTTCTAGAAGAGGGGCCAGGAAATGCAAAGCCTGGGTGCCTGTTCCAGGGAGAGAAAGGAGGAGAAGGGGGCATGGCTGGGGGGCCGTGAGACATGGGCTGAGAGCACAGCGGGGCTCAGAGGGGCTCGGTCACCAGGACCATTGCTGTGCCCAGGGCTGGGGAACTGAGCAGAAATATTCCAAGAGCGTCAGATAATACAAGAGGTATTATGGTTTTTTTAAAATGTAACTTGTGCTATTTTCTTACACAGCTCAGCCTCCCTGATTATATTCTTCTTACCCTAATATTAAAATTAATTTGCATTCCCTTAGCACATAGCAGCTGGTTGAGGTAGTCAACTGACCTAGAGGTCTGTCGCTTAGCCAGGAGGAGGCCGACTGGGCCGGGAAATTGGCCGTGCACAGTTTACCCCGGGGATAGATGACGCCCAGGGTAGTTTAAAGCCGAGTTTTAGATGGAGTGAGTCAGAACAGAGCAGAACCAAACAGGAGGCTGGACGCCTAGGACCCCCTGGTCCTCCCGAAATCCCACAAGTCTCTGAGGATCCGAAATAACAGGCCGATGGCCCTGCTGCCTTGCAGGCGGTTCTGTTTGTGAGAGAGGGACATGCATGCCACCCACCGACCAAGAGCCACGAAATACACTGATTTGATTGCTGCTACTCCCTGAGAGGCCATGGGGCTGCCTAAAACGCTGTCCCCTCGGGCTGGCGAGTTGTGGGACCTCCAGGCCGTTCCTTGAAGCCTTCCTTGCCTAGTGGGAAGAGGGGGTGACAGTCCCCAAATGGGCTTCAGCCCGGCTCCCACACCCTCAGGAGCGTGCAGAGCGGTCGCTGCTCCCCGGTCCTTACTGTCCTAAAGGGCGTGCGGGTTCCCACTGCATCTGACTTTGACTTCTGGTTGTCCCCACAGCTTCTGTGCGGGGACCCCACTTGCACAGTAGGTGGGTGCACTTAGGCTCCTAGGAACAGAGCTCTCACGTGCGAGTCTCCCCAGCTTCCTGTGAGCTCCTCCAGGACAGAGGGGGGCCCGTGATGGGGACTTGGGGGCACCGGGAAGCGGTGGCCCGCTTGCCCTGCTCACGGCGCCGCCCCTCTGTCCCTCTGCCCCTCTGCCCCCCGCAGGGATGACCGCCATCCCCTGCGCCTGCCTGGGCATCTTCCTGGGCGGCCTGCTGGTGAAGAAGCTCAGCCTGTCCGCCCTGGGGGCCATCCGGATGGCCATGCTCGTCAACCTGGTGTCCACCGCCTGCTACGTCTCCTTCCTCTTCCTGGGCTGCGACACGGGCCCCGTGGCTGGGGTCACTGTTCCCTATGGAAACGCGTAAGTACCAGCAGCGTCTGTTCGTGCCCCTCTCTGCCCCCTGGGCCAGGTTGATGGCAGAGCTTTGTCCCTAGTGACCATGAGCCATGGAGTGGGTGACGCCCCTGCGTCTGTTTCCAAGGTCAGAGACTCAGTGGGACCCTCTGGGTGGGGGGCAGACCGTGTCCCTCGAGGGGTCTCTCCCAGGGCAGCCAAGGGACCCTGGGGGAGATGAGCAGACATTACTCCTGGGGACCCAGGTTTCTACTCCTGGCATTTGACTGTGGGAATGATGCGAAGATAGAAAATAAAAGGGAATTTTATTGTAATATTCAGCTGCACATAAAAGATAGAATAGACATCGTTTCTATGGGACCACTTTTCTTATCTGGTTGTTGTCCTTATATATCCAGCGTTGACAGCTGTCCCCTTTTCTACATGGGACTCTGAGGCTGCCTTGACAGCCCGGCCTGGAGCATCGAGACTGGAGCCCGGCTGGCTTGCAGGATACCAGTTCCTCGCCACCCTGGTCTCCTCCTCCAGGCAGGCCACCAGGCCTACTCCTGCAGTTAAGCCAGAGGATACAGTAGAGCTTGAGCACTAAAAGGCTTAGCTGCAAATGACAGGGCTGAAGAAAGGACACTTGTCTCTCACAGCACTAAAAACGCCCCTTCCACCCTGTCCCCCTCTGCAGTGTGCTAGCTCTAGGTAGCTGCGCCTTTGGTGGTGCAAAAGGAACTTTAAAATATCTTAGTGTTACTTTTCGCAGGAAAGTGACTCAGTCGGGCAGACAGTAATTATTGAAGCGGCCTGGTTGTAGTGGTTTGTTGAGTATCACGGGGCTTGCTGTCTGCTGGGGCGGGATAAAACCGAGACAAGGACCGACCCAAAGAGGGGAGATGGGAGTGTTCAGCTGGGCAGGGTGGAGTTGCTGGTCCATCGGAGGCTGGAGGAGGTGGCCCTGAGCAGAGCCCCAGCTCTTGCCAGCCCAGAGGGCGCATTGGTGCAAATGATAGAGAGAGGCTTCTTCTCCTCTGGGCAGACAGAGCTCCCACCCAGCCTAGCACCACGGTGCAGGGAACAACCCACGGAGCTCCAGCTGTGGCTCTGGGCTGGATCCTGCAGGACAGATTGGGTTAAGAGGAGGCAAAGCAGGGGGTGCCAGGCGCCTCATCCCAGCACAGGGCAGAGAGATGTCACTGGGGGGATCCTGTCGGAAGCTGGCCTTCCTCTGACAGGTTCTGTGTTTCCTTTGTTCTCCAGCTCAGCACCCGGCTCGGCCCTGGACCCCTACTCACCCTGCAATAAAAACTGTGAATGCCAAACCGATTCCTTCACTCCCGTGTGTGGAGCAGATGGCATCACCTACCTGTCTGCCTGCTTCGCTGGCTGCAACAGCACGGTATAGTGATGCTCGGAGGGATGGGATGGGGCGGGAACTCAGGCAGCCAAGTAGCTTAAAACCAAAGGTCAAGGGCAGGAGTGGGAGCCACACATGTTCCACACTTTATGTTCCTGCTCAGTGCCTTTTCTCAGCCTCTGCCCTGCTGCAGTGAAGGCTTTTCCATCAGTAGGATGGGAGGACTGCTGGGCCCTTCTTGCTAAATCAGTTGCCTTCCAAAAAGCATCACTGAGCAAATGAAACTAAAAATTCAAACGAAGGCGTATATATGGAGCCAGGGGAAAAGATTGTGGTTTGAGACACTCACGAAGGGTATTGGTGGAATAGGATGACTCTACGGGTAATGAGCTCCCCATCACCCGAAGTATGTAAAGAAAGGCTAGCAAATCACTTCCCAGGGAAGACCTCTTCCAAAGCTGAGACTGTCTGATATTAATTCACCCTCTTCCCTACTCAGTTCCCTTTGCCTTTTTCTTCTCAACTAGATGCCTCCCATTCTTTCCATCTTCCCACTGTACTTTTTTTGGCTCTTTCCTTCTTGGCTTGAGTTATACAATTGACTGTCAGCCTGTAGCTTTCCATGCCCCCTGCGTGAAAACCTGATGCCAAGTGAGTGGCCACCAACTCCTGCCGATCCTACCTGCCAGGTGTCTCTTGTGTCTGCCCCATCTCTTGCTTGGACCTGGGTAGTAGCTGCCTAACTGGTCTCCCAGCTCCGGGCGGCCCCATTCTGGCCTGTGCTCTGCACTGCAGCCAGAATGGTTTCTGTCACACTACCTATGACCCTTCCTAATGCTAATGCATCAACTAGAAGATGAGATCGAGGCACTGACCTGGGTCTGATTTGCCTTCAGCCGTACCTCCCTTCAGGTCGTGGTGGTCAGCTTTTCCCACACAACGTGCGTGTTTTCACACTTCTCCCTCCAGCTGGACAGCTCCTTCTGACTCAGCAGCGCCCTGCTCCAGCTCCCATCCTCTGACAGCCTCCCTCCCCTCCTTTACCTTTACCTTTGGGGTTCTTGCCTCTGCATCTTGGCGCCTGTCTGTCCTGGAGGCAGTTGTCTCCTGTCGCTGCAGTGATCCGCTAAAAGTACATCTCACCCGCTCTGATCTGTGCGTTGCTGAGCGAGGCCTGGCATCCAGGTGCGCTCCGCAGATGCCCAGGGGCGCGTAGACAGAAAGCGAGCTCAGCAAAGGGCTCAGCGGCTGCCATCAAGCAGCTTGGAGTGGAAATCATTCATTTCCTCTCCTTGCCGCATCCTGGGTCTTTGTGGAGCAGCAGTGTTTCTGTAAAAGAAAACATTGATCATTTATTTTCATTTCCAAAGATTTATTTTTTTTTCCTTGCTTCTAACATTTAGATTCCTGGCCAGTTATTAACATTTTTCTATAGAGAAAATAAATCACCATAGGAGGTGGGTAGGGAGGAACCGATTTTTTAAATTAGGTGATAAAGCACTTTCTTTATGTGAGTGGAAATGAATTTTTTAAAGGAAGGAAGGAGCCTGGAGAGTGGTTAAAATAAAAATACAAGCTATTCTTTTTCATGACAACAATGTCATTTATATTCAAAAAGTTATATTATAAATCAATGTTGGTTATTGACCTGTTATAAAAATTTAAGTATAGGCTAGTGTCCAGAGACCAAAGAAGTCTCTACTCCAGAGCATTCTCTGGCCCCCAAAAATGGTCTTAAAAATTGTATCTCTCCTGATGTCACTTGTACGAGAGTCTTACCGAGTAAGAGCCTGGCCGGGCTCCCGGCTGTTGCCAGCCGCCAGAGCAGCCTGCTGCGCAAGGCAGTTATCCGGGGCAAGCTTCTCCGCTCCCTGCAGACACCTGCCTGTTTGTCACCTTACTGGGGGCCTCAGATTGTCTGCGGTGTGCAGACAAAGCGGGGAGGTTCTCCCCCTGCAGTTAGGAGGCAGCGACGGGGAAGCCCAGGCCCGCCGGCTGGGGTGGGAGCAGCAGTGCAGTCCTCCCCCTGGAGCCAGACTTCTCGCTGCCCCGGCTCCCAAAAGGCGGGTGAGAGACCTGGGGACACAGCCATGCGTGTCCTGGAAAAGGGCCCTCATGACAGTTTAACATGAAAAACAACTTGGAACAGCTGCAAGCTTTTCCAAGAGCCTGCGCAGGTCAGGGAACAGGGCCTTCCACGCGTCACTCGTGGCCCAGAGTCAGGGAATCTCAGGCCACCGTCCAGAAGCGAGCGAGGAGCGCTTGCAGGCTCTTGCACCTCTGCGCAGTTTGGAGAGGATACCAAATGGGGGCCATATTCCTGCTTGGCTTACCCGCTTCTCTCCCTCTCCTTGCCTGCAAGCTCTGGAAAAAAGTCCTCCATAAGCAGGGCTTCCCCCTCTCTCTCCCGTGTTTATTCCCTCACCCTCTGCTGGGGCCCCCCCCTTTCCCAGCGTGAGGGTGACCGGCCTCCACCCCCAGCCCCGTATGTGTCACCTCACTAATCCTCTCAGTGGCCTTGGGAAGGTGTGGTTTTCATTCCCTGGGGGTCACAGGTTAGTCACGTGCCTAAGGTCACACTGACCGTGGCGGTGGGTGCCGGCCTTGGAATGTAGAGTCTGTCGAACCCCAAACGCAGCGTCTCCCCCTGTCTCTGTGACTTCCCTCTTCAGGATCCCCGCCTCTTTTCCACCTGAAAGGACCTGTTCGTGCACCCGCTTCACAGCCTGTTGCTGCCTCTCCAGCCAGAAGCTCCTCCCTCCTCCCACCTCTCCCAGAACCACGTGCTGTGTTCCACTTCTTGGGGTTCCCCCGACACACGCAGCTCCCCGTCGCCTCCGGGCCTTTGCACATGCTGTTCCTTTTATCAGGGACATTATTCCCCCAAAGCCCTTCCCACGCCTAACACCTCCTTACCCGAAGTGGAGAGGCCGCCTCCCGCCTGTCACTTCCTCCGGGTCTGCATTAGCGCCCCGCTGCAGTGTCCCCACCGCCTGCTGTCCCCTAGGGAGCTTCTCACCCCCACCATGCCCAGGTTGCATGGCCCCTCACCCTGCATCTCCCCCCCTAGCTGCAGCACCCGGCTGGGGTTCTGTTGAGGCCCTGCATTCCCAGTGGCAGCCGTGGGGAATGGCTCCAGCCTCCCAAAAGGCGGGGTGCCCCGGGCGGGCCTCAGGGAGCACCAGGGGGCCACTGGAGGCGATCATACCGCTCTCTCGAGTAGCAAATAGCAGGCAGGTCGGTTGGGTGGTGCTGATTTTAATACTAAAGGCCCAATCCCTGCTCATGTCTCACCGCTTTCTAGCTTCCATCAACTCGGGCAAACCTCCCCTCACTCGATTAGATGTGAGTAATTCACCGATCACATAAATCTGATTACAAGGTTGGCGTTAGCGGTTTCCCGATGTTAGGTTTCCTTCCGGCGCTGGTTTGGCTTTTGTGTTTTCTGTTCTCCTGTGTCCTTGGCTGATAGCAGGGAGGCGTCCAGGATTGCATTTAACACGCGATTTGTAATTCTTCTCATGGCAGAGAAGACGGGCTGCTAGTTAATTTTCTAAGCTTCCTTTGGCTTGACTCTGTCGTCTCTGTAGCCTCCACGCTCGGGAGAGATGATTCTAGCAGAAAGCCTGTTGCTATGCTGCGCACTGCCTGCTGGATGTTGTGTCCTTTCCACGTACCAAATAATTGACTTAACGCGTAGAGCAGCCACCAGTGGAACGTTGAAAGTCGATACAGGCCTGGCCCAGCAGCGCGTAGAGCACTGATGACAGATGATTAATCTGTGCCACCGTCCAGGCAACAAATGTTTATGGAGCACCTGCGAGCAGAGCCCTGAGCAGGCTCTGCGGAAGGAAGGGGTGCCCCTTTGTGCACCCCCACAAGCTCGCCATTGAGTGTCACGGCTCAGCGCTGGCTGCGCATTAGAGTCACGCGAGCTTCTAGAGAATGAGGCCTGAGCCCCATCCTTAGAGATTCTGGTGTCTTTGTTCTGTTTTCAACGTTTTTAAAGCCTCAGGACTGCTGACACCCTTGGCTGCGTCATTCTCTGTCGTGGGAAATGTCCTGGGGTCCGGGGGATGTTTAGAAGCTTCCCTGCACTCTACCCACCAGAGGCCAGTAGCGTCTCCAAACGGTTCGGTAGGTCTTGGGGGGGCAGAATCACCCCCAGTTGCGAACCACCACTCTAAGACCTTTCTGGAAACAGGTCAGCATCTGAGCTGATACTGAGCACTCGCCCTTCGGTCTCCTTTCCTTTGTCGCTTATTGTGTCCACCCCACAGGGGACAGCAGCTGGAGATCGGAGGTGCCCTGTCAGCCTGGTACACCGATTGCTTGTGCGCCGTATCTGCCCTGCACGTGTATTGACTGTGGGCTAAACCCAGGTTCACCAGGCATTTCATACAGAAATCTGGACTTCAGGTGTCACTGTAAAAGTTGGACCATAAGTAACATGGCCCCTACACCCCCATAGGGCAGCGATGGGCCGTCGCTGAGCAGTGGCCGACCCCACCACTGGCCACCCCTTGCACCTGGACCATTTTCTTATCTGTTTCCTATCTGGCTTCCAAAGGTTTAGAGTTTGCAAACCCGCTTAAATAGCCCGGCCTGTTTGCCAGAACAGATTTAAAAGTCTACACTCATTCTGGTGATGGCTTGCATTCTGAAATCATGGCCACTCAGGACACCTAATCATGGACACCTAATAGATCTCAGGCCCTGGGTGAGCCATTAGAAATATAGAGCTTGGTAAGGAAGGAGCTCACATTTACTATAAAATGATATGTAATCTATTAATAGAATTATGTACAGGGGACCACGCAAGAGCAGCAACTAGATGGCCTTATATGTTGACAATACAGTATTAAGTGAAAAGAGCACATTATAAAACTGTTTATAGGCTATGATCCCTTTCAGTCAAAAAAAGAAAAATCTAAATATATGTATATCTTAGCATGGGAAAATATTAGAAGGGCATGTAGCCAACTGTTAATAGGTTACCTCTTGCTAGGGACTGAAACATTGATTTTCATATATTTCTTTCAAATGTTCAGTATATTTCTAAACTGTCTAAAAGAACATGCATTCGTTTTCCAATAGGGAAAACTTTTTTATTAAAGCTTACGATTCGGCGTTAAAGGTAGGCGGTTACCTTCCGAGAGAAGGAAGCAGATGGGTGGGCAAATGGATCGTGGCCTTGCAGCGCGATGCCTGCCTGGGTGGAAATGGGTTCGGGTGGCGTGGGCTGGAGGGAGGGAGCGTGGACACTTTTCCTGGAGGGGGGCGATGTCAGGGTGGGGCCTTCGTCGTGGGGGGAGTGGGTGTTTGCCTGCAGAGGCCTGAACCTCGAGGTATGGGCCAGGATTTGAGCTGGAGGGGGAGACATAGGGGCCTGGCGATCATTCCGAGCCGTGGCCACATCGTGGCCCTTCGCGCTCTGCCCGTGACTCCCTACCTGAGGTGCCTGATCCAGGGGGAGCCCCCTGCCCCCCAGGAGCAGCCCTTTCCTGCTCTCCTGCGGGAGATGGTGAAGGCCCCGCCCGCAGGATGCGCTCTGACCCCTGCGTTACAGGTTAGGGGCTGAGAGGCGGACGCGGGTCTTGCTTTCATGTCAGAGCTTTTCTCCCTGGCCGTGACCGTCAGCTGTGACCCCACCGGGGAACACGAGACTTTCTTCTCGTGGCTTTTCAACATGCCCCGGCCTTGGCCTTGGCCCGGAGGCTGCTGCAGGGCTCTGTGCAAATGATGAGCTCCAAGAAATACCAGCTTGGGCTGGGCTCACAAGGCGCAGAGATGCTGAGCTCCGAAAGGACAGTAACGAGTGACAGGAGAACAAGGAGCTTCGCTAAGCGCCTCGCGTACCTGGGAGTATGTTGTCATTCCGAGGCGGACGTCCCGGTCTGTTGTGGTTGTGTCACCAGCCCTTTGCTGTCTCACTGATGAGCATGTGACGTGCGGAGGCTGGAAGGTCGCGCGGGCAGAAGCAGAGCACTGCGTGGATCCGCTGTCTCTCCGGCCGCCCCCTTTCTCAGCCGCAGGACTAGGGCCTGACATTTAATAGAAACTGTCACTTCTTCCTGGTGGCTGGCTGCCTTTCAGAAAGAAAAAGAAATCCAGTGTTCCAGGCTGTTGGGAGCGACCCTCCACTTTCCAAGTTGCCACGTCGGGCTGTTAATACACAGGACATCATCACCCCCATAGCTGTCCCCTTAGAAAAGTAATCTTTCAACCTAGAAATTAGTTTACTTGTACGATTAATAGAAATTGATCCTTCAGTGCTGAATGTGGGGTGGGGGGGACCAAACAAAAACAACTTTATTCGCCAGTATTTATGAAACACTGCTGACGAGTATTTTGGGCTTATAATATGAGCTGTCAAAACAGCGCGCTTATGCTTTCCTTCAGCAGTAGAAAATGAATCCAAGATCCCAGAAAGTAATTTTTCTATTTTTCTGGTCTCCAGCTTTATTGTAATTATTTATCCCCATCATTGTAAGCGAACAGAAACATTCCTCAGTGTAAACTAATGATTGAGATGTGGAAAAGGCGTAGGATTTTCAATGACTATGCTTTTCACTGATTTTTGGGGAGAGTGAAAGGTTTCTTTATTTTTAAAGTTCTAGACTTTTTCATTTTTTAAAGAAATGGTACACTTTTAGGGTTCAAAAATCAGAAAGTAAAAAAAGGGGATGGAACTCTCTTTTCTACCCCTGCCTCCCACTTTTCAACCCACCACTCTGCCCAGTAGGTGATTATTATTATTAGTTTCTTGAAGTGTCTCCTTCTGGACTTTAATGCACATATCAGGTCTTATTAACAACTCTACCAACAACAGGTGCAGAATAATTTATCTTGGAGTTTCTTTCCCTATTAGTATGTAAAGAGCACTCGTACCTTTTTGACAGCTGTATAGTATTCCGTTGCGAATCTGTTGGAATCTTTATAACCAATCCTTGTAGGTAGGCACTCAGATTGCTGCAGGACTTCAGCTCTTGCAGTGTTGTGACTCGTGTTAAACTTTTGTCATTTGTGTCCAGGCAAGTCTGTGTGTAGGGTAAATTCTTACAAAGTGAGACAGGCCAGTCTCACATTGTTCTGTCCGTCACCACGGGTTCCCAAGCTTGTCGGGCCTGCTCCTCTGTAGGCACAGTGGTGATCTGAGTATCAACATGATATAACAGGGTGCACTTCTTTCTAATAAAGTTAGATCCTGTCACCCTGTGTGTGACACCAGGCAGAGAATCCAGCCCTCCTGGGGGCAGTGACACTACATTTTCCCCTGGAGAAGAGCAAAGTGGGATGACACAGTGTCTCCAGCCTCGGCCCCTGGATAAAGGCCCTGTGCAGGGCAGTCATAAAGGGTGGCCCTGTGGAGGCCGGGGGGCACTTAGAGGCTTTTGGACACCCCTGCCAGCATCCCATGGAGCTTTATGGGATAAGAAAAGCCCCAAAGCCCCATCTATGTGCTATGGGGAAAGAAAAGAACGG